TCCCACCACTTGTTTGGGCGAGGGTGGTTTCACTTTAAGTATACATGTAGTGACGGAACCATAAATTCCCTAACTTTATGTTTAAGCACGATAGAAACATGCGAGTGTGCCACACTTTGCATACAGTGAACCCTGGTATCTGATTGGTAAATTGAGTTTATACACTGTTATATTTATGGCAAAGAGAAATTCTACTTCAAAATAAAGGAAATTCACAAATGACAGCAATTTTAACCTTCTTAGTTAACTCATTACAATAGTTTCTCAGCATATTTTAGAGTATACCCTTTAACCATGCGTCAAAAAAGCTTAGTAAATGTCGCAATAATAGTGATATTATGCTAAGTTGAATACAAATCACTATAAATCACTAGTTGAATACAACCCCCAGCCCGGCCCATACCTTCTCGCATCCTTCAGTCCCATCAGTCTTGTCTGGTCATATTTTTTTCAATTTCCAGTTTTTGTTTACTATATGATATATATTTGCATTGTCATTGTACTTTTGTTCATTTGTTGGCCGAATAAATAATAATAATAAAATCAGTCTTGTCCTAGTGTTTTTCTATGTTAATTGGACGTTTATTTGGTACAATACATCAAATCAGAGTTACGTTTTGGGTATACCATAGATGACACTAAATTCATCTGTACCCCATTTGCCGACGACTTTAATCTCATAACCACCAATGTTAAATCGCACCAACGTATAATCAACAACATTGTGTCTCGAGCTCAATCAATGAATCTTATTCTCAAACCCAGCAAGTGCAAATCCTTGTCTCTCTGCAGCGGCAAGCCTACAGAAAAAATCTTCAAAATCAACGATTTTCTGATCCCAACAATTAAAGATGAACCGCACTCATTTTTCGGGTCGATAATAACATTCAGTGGGAAAGCACGCGACACAATGTTCCACATTAAGCAGAAAATTATTTCGTATCTTAACAGAATAGATGAATCTAAAATCCGTGATGAGTACAAACTAAAGGTGTATTGTAACTACCTACTCTCTTCACTACGATTCTGCCTGACTGTTCACGACATAACTAAAACTGATCTAAACACACTCGATCAAAACATCGATAAGTACCTGAAAAAATGGGGAGGACTGCCCAAAAGTGCTACCAATTCCCTCCTCCATTCCAACTCTGGATTAGGGATCAAATCACTCACGTTCTTGTACAGAGAATGTCATGCCCTAGCTCATGCCTCCACAAGAATCAAAGGAGACAATATGGTTAACAAATGTCTAGACTCCAAACTACACCGCGAATCATCCTGGTCTAGAAAATGTTCCGTTACTGCCTATTCAGAAAACGTTCTCCAAAAAGCTCTGAAGGAAATACCGGCCAAAGACAATAGCCCGGGAAAACATTTGCACAAACTCAAAACAGTCATCAAGTCATCCGTAGCAAAGGACATTGCTAATACATGGGATCAAAAAATCAAATCCCTTGCTAAACAAGGCCGTCTCCTAGAACTTATGGAAACGGAAAAATCCAACATCACTTGGAAATCAATAATGTATAATTTACCTCGGAAAATTCTTCGCTTTGGACTCAATGCAATCATAGATACTCTACCAGTCAATACCAATCTCTGCCTCTGGGGTAAGTCAGTTGACCCCAAGTGCACACTTTGCACATCCAAGGAAACATTGTTACATGTCCCCAATTACTGCCCAGTAATGCTCAATCAAGGCCGCTACACCTATCGCCACAACAATGTTTTACTGGAAATCTGTAAATCCCTAGACAAAATGTACAACAGCTGCTCTCACCGCAAACTCTTTGCCGATCTCGATGGTAAACATGCTCCTGGCGGCAATACCATCCCGCCATCCATACTACCAACCACACTTAAGCCAGACATTGTCATAACAGACGAACATAACAAAGACATCACCATAGTTGAATTAACGGTACCATTCGAAACTAACATAACTAAAAGCCATGACTACAAAATGCAAAAATATGCCAACCTAACACGAGATTTGCGTGAGATAGGTTTCAACTCCAAACTCATCGCCTTGGAAATAGGAAGTAGAGGCTTCATAGACGAAAACAATAAAACACAAATCCGCTCCCTATTCAATCTGATGACAAAAACCGAAATACGGCAACTCACCACTCACCTGTCAAAAACAGCACTGGTCTCATCCTTCGTAATCTTCTACTCAAAATACAGCCCCGTTTGGATTGATTCTCAAGATTAAGGTATTCTTTCACATCGCCCATCCCACTCATCAATATTCCCTTGACCTAGCCAAGCAATCGTTATTCCCTGGTTTATGCTTTTCTTGTTATGCTTTTCTTGTTATGCTAAATTGTTAATTATTTAATTTGTCAATTTGTCTCTTACTTCTACATTAATTTCTAGTTCCTTGCTTCATTGACATTTAGACTGTTTCTTTTGATTCGTCTTTCATGTTCATGATGTTCTAGGTTTCCTCCATGTCTTTTGGTTGTTGTTGTTGATTTATGATTAATGAATAAAAGACATGAATTAATAAAAAAAAATCACAAAAATTAGAAACCTTTCCAACAAAATGTTTTGATCTTTCAACTTTGATTAAGGCTGTCCGTTTATTCATGTCAGTGTTAAGAATCAACTCTCCAAGGAGCTGTAGGCTTGAGTTCATTGGTACATAACATTACAGAACAATCAAATGTTACGGTAGTTACCCTTTTAAATGTTAAAATAGGCTTCATTGTTAGCGCGGTCTTTTCAAATTGTTATGTCCAAGTATGCATTGGTAAAGATAAAATGTGACGAGTTTTCGTCACTTATGCTTAAGAGCTACTAATCAAACGTTTAAAATAGCTTTACAAATAGGTTCAAATGAATCTCAAAGTGGACTGCCCTTATGTTTTAACCACCCTGTAAGGCAAAGCAGGACAGGATTTAGACAAAATGGTTGCTTGATTCTTCAATGATAAGGATAAACCGCAAGGCTTGATAATGATGAACTAACGTGTACAATTATGATGAATGGCCCATGTATGACCCTGTTCTTGAATTACTCTCTCTGCATGATCACATATTATTATTCTATTTCATGGGCGTCGCGAGGGGGAGGGCAAGGGGGGCGCTTGCCCCTCCCCGCTGGAAAAGCAACCAAAAAAAAAGGGAAGAAAAAAAAGAGAAAAAAATAAAAGAAAAAGACGCGCGAAGTCATTATGGTGTACGTGTAAATTCAATGGGTAACGGGGGGGGGGGCAAAATGTCCCTGCCCCTCTCTAAAACTGAAACATCGAGAAAATGTTGAGAAATACAAGGATTTTTTGGAAAAAATATGTTTTGCCCCCCTCTAGAAAAAATCCTGGCGACGCCCATGTCTATGTTCAAATGTCAGATCCACTATTCCAGACTCTTATTCCTATTCCACATTCCGATTCCACATTCCCATTCAACAGTCCCATTTCACATTCCCATTACCATTCCGCAACCCTATTCCTCATTCCATACTTTCACCATTTTACTGATCCTGTCCAAAGAGGAAGGGGCGTGTTTGGTCCCGTGGCCATAGCACTGCAGGGTTAACATGTCTGTAGATCTAGCTTCTTGAAGTTATATATATGACTTTCTACATTTGGCAGTTTCTTCTCTGAACTCTAATTCCACAGTTTGTGACTCTTCATTAATTGGAGCTAAAATCTACAATCCGAAACGTGAGGAAATATAACAAACGAAATACTAATTTGTGCTTCTAATTTGGAGTAAGTTGTAACAAGAGATATTTTTTCACATTAAATACATTGAATGGTCAATGATTATAGCGACCTCTTTATTGTACCACATTTCAGTGGATAGGCTTTAGTACATTAGACCAGAGACACCTGAGATGCCATAGTGGAAGGAATTAAGAGAGCATTTTAGGACATACACACATGATAAAGATAATAACCTAGGCCTATATAGTATGACATCTATTGATGTCAGGAAAGGTAAACCATTTAAACGTATAAAATGGCAGAAAAACTAAATTTAAATGCAACCGAAAGTAATACCGTTATATGCTCAACTTTTCAAATACGATCAAACAATTATACGTCTTATAGCCTACATCATAAATCCGGATAATGTTCAACACTGTTCTACACTTCAGGCATATATGATATGTAAATTAAAAAGACGGTAATTTAAATCAGCGTCATTTAAAGATAAGTACTGTAAAGTGGCGATGAATTTAAAGAACTAGCCAAAGAAAAACTAAGTACTTTGAAGGTAGTCATGTACATGTAAATTGGTTTAAATGGCTGAAAAGCAATCACCTTTCAAACTGAAGATGATAGCTGCTTTTTACTCAGATTAAGCGCAAATTCTACTTTTTCAATGTAAAACTACGATTAAAAGTGAATGTGTTCAATATTTTACTTGTATATGGTTACCAGCTGATTTCGCGTAATATACTGATTATATTTAACTTATCTAAGTTGTATGTTTTAGATTCATAAAACACTCCATTACTATGAGAAGAAATTGTGATTAATTTGTATCATTACTATATCATTTTGTTGAAATACAACAAATCATCATAAAGTGCCTGTTTTTAAACTTAAAGCTATCGATCATTTGAGTATTTTATGAACACCATCTTTGGCACCTGTTTTTCAAATAATTGGCTGAATATCGCCATAGCGAACGACTACTATAGGGAACGATATTTTGTGGACTCCTTGTGTTGTCAACAACCCTTGGAAAAGTTGTCAACAATTATTTTCATAGTGAAAATCTCTTTTTCCCCCACCTGCCTTGATTGGCAACCATAGCCTTAGCCAAATAGCCAAATGACACCACAAAAACCACAATTGAAAAAGTGGCGCAATTCTCTAATAGACCCTTTCATAAAATTGGTCACTGCTCAGCCAACCGTGAACGTAATGACAAGATCAGGGTGTCATTTTAAAGAGGAGATTCAACCCTAACAGAGGATATCTCCTTTCGATTCACATGTGCCCTACTTCTGTTCCAATTAGCAATAATATCTCGGTTCCTTTTTTTTTTTTTGATCCACCCTGTATACGCTATTTTGCCATTATATCTTCTCTTTTCTTGCCACCTGACACAGCATCCAGTAAGTCTATACACTCTTGTTTGCTCTCTTCAAAAGCGAGATCTCGCGCTGTCTGCCCCTTCGCTGTCCGAGCACTGATGTCGCAATTTTCCTGAAACACAAACGTCGTTGAAAAATCTGGTCTTTAAAAGTTGTTAAACGTTGCCTAGATTTTTTGTGACTTTCTGGACGCTCTTTTCGGTACAAGCAAGCATTCATGAAACAAAAAACAAAAAAATATAACCGTACGCATCTGGACATTTTCCAGCATAAAATTCTTACTTGTAATGGACCACATCCCTGAAAAAGATCAACAATTTTGAACAGTTGACCATTATTTCGGTTTGGAAAATTCAATACGGTTAGCAGTGTTCAATACAGGCAATTCACAATACCGCGAAGCCGTCGCTTCAGGGCTTAAATCGAGGGAATAACGCATTGTATTGTGGGGGGAAAGCCGACTTCCCACGACCCTGTTAAATACCGACCATGTACAGCTCTACAACATCGTACCTTGCCAACGCTTTCAAAACCAATATTGCAATTCCGCCTTCTTGTCACAACACGGGATACCGCGATCATTAGAAACGACCTTCACTGAAATCCTGGACTCGCATCAATCTCATTCGCTGTACATGACATTGTATTGTGAATTGCGCGTATTCAAAATGAGGTACATTCTGCATGATATGAATCTAACCTGTTTGAGAAGTGTCTTTACAATCTCTGTATAGCCGTTGATAGCAGCGATGTGCAGCGCCGTAAAACAGTCATTTTTCACTAAGTTGATCATTGATGGTGAACGTTGCAGAATTTTTTCGACGGCACTAAAGGAGAAAACATAATGTTTCATAAATCAATTTGATATTATTGTGTGTACATGTAAATGGTTCCAGCAAACGCCGTGTTTACATTAAAACTAGAGTGAAACGCTATAATAAACACGACCAGGATCAGGGACCAAAATTCTTGGAGCTGATTAACGCTGAAAATGTTTGCTTCGCAAAATCTGGTTAAGAAACAAAATGTCATGTGATGTCTTTTGCTCGTGAATGGATCTCTCCGTAAATGATTTTCTTTGCATCTGTCTAAAAATTATGTAACCGGCTTGTTGAATTTAGCTTTTCCCTTTATTAGAGTACACAATCTATTTAAGCCACCCCTCCCCCCCCCCTCTCTTGTCTGAATTGCAAATGGAATGAGATGAGGTCAGGCAGCTTATTATGCCCCAGGGCAATCCCAATGGGGTAATAGGGAGACTTTCCCATAGACTTGTGCACACATTTTTTCCGAATTAAATGTGCCCTAACCCAATATTCCCTTGTCCTTTTTCCATGAATATCGGTATTTTTACTAATTAGACCACGAGCAACAAATATAACCTAATGTCGACAGCAAAATTTTTCCTCTAAAGGGGGGCTGCGCCAATAGGGAGACACCTAGGTGTCTCCCTATTAAGCCCGTGTCTCCCTAATGGTACATTTGTAGGAATAAAAGTAATAATAGACCGCTTGCAGACGCGTTCGATAATCGTCGCGCGAAGGCGCGCGACGCCATGTTGTGGGACAAGCGTATTTCTATCTATGCACATTTTGTCCCACAACATGGCGTCGCGCACCTTCGCGCGTCAGTTATCGATCGCGTCTGCAAGCGGTCTATTACGGGGAATGGGTCATTTGGGAGACATTCCCATAGACTTGTGCACAACATTTTTCCAACTTAAATGTGCCCTAACCCAATATTCCCTTGCCCTTTTTTTCCCACGAATTTCGGTATTTTTACTAATTAGACCACGAGCAACAAATATAACCTAATTGCAACGGCAAAAATTTGCCTCTAAAGGGGGGCTGCGCCATTAGGGAGACAGGTATGTGTCTCCCTAAAAGCCGGTGTCTCCCTATTATCGAAGAAATTACAACAACGTGTCTCCCTAATGGTACATTTGTAGGAATACATCCCTCCACCCGTTAATAATATCCAATTACGCAACTGGTCGTACTGGCATACAGCGTCATGAATTGTAATTCTTTAATTGAGAATACACAAAAGATACGTACTGTTTCTTCCCATGGAAGGCTGCAAAATGTAAGGAGTTGAAGTCATCGTTGTTCGTCAATCTCAGACCGTCATCTGTCGTATGTTCTATCAACAAATCTATCATAGTATTGTTGTCCCTCGGAAGTCCAATTGCGATGAACAATGGTGTGTCTCCATCGATGTCCTGCCGACGTAAGATGCAAACCACATAACGTGACAAAACAATTCCCTTTCACTTTTCAGTAGGGCACGGATCCTACACATAAGGAAGGATGAACGACTGTTCTGAACTCCACATGTCGTACCAAATGCGCTGAACGGATTAACTGGTTTGATGCGTGATAAGGCCAAAAAGTCTCCGGTTTCTGGTATGGAGCTTGCCCCAAATGTGGTGTGGCGACGCGTTTTTTTTTTTGTACCAACTTTTTTTTTCTCTTCAAAAGTTTGCTGATGTTGCAGATGACGCTTCGATCCCATTAAAACTCTCAAAATATCCTTCAGAGTGCAGCTTGAGTTGACCTCAGTTAGGCCATAAGGCTTGAGAAGTATATTGAGCTAATTATACACGACCATCGCTCCGTCAGTCTGGCTTCCTGACGCACAATTGCAAAATTACAACACCGTCTGCAAACGGTGACCGACTAAATTTAGTGCAAAATGTATGGAAGCCCAAAGGAGTGCACATAAAGGTTAAACTTAAAAAAAACTGGCTACATTTCAGCACAGATAACATTTTTTGGCGTCCCGCTCCCCATGGATGAGAACCGTGGCTAGGCTGCAATGAGGTACTAATGCTAGGGTCACACATTCCGAAATTAGTTGTGAATACAACCAGAATAAACCAAGAATTGAATTTAGTTCCCGAATCACCCCAACAATTTTGAACATGTTCAAATTTGTCGGGGCGCTTCCCGATCTTTCACGATCTTTCACCAAACTAGCAGAATCATCCCGAGGCAGCCATGAACCATCCCCGATTTACTCAAGAATTGCTATTCGTGGCGATTCGGCTTAAAAATCGGGATTGCATGAACCTAGCATTAGGATGAATACGGTACTCCCACGGTTTATCACAAATTTTAAACCGTGGAGATCCGTAGCTCCAAAACCGTAATGTATGACTGGGGTTCAACTAAAAGTTTGGCAGAGTCGTTCTTCCCTGTGTGTAGGATCCGTTAGTAGAGCAACAAAAATTTGGTTGTTCGTTTTGTCATTAGAGACATATGTTATGTCGTTGGCTTTTGGTCTTGGTTTTTTTTGTGTGTATTTTGTAATTTGGTTGTTTGCTTGTTTGTTTTAATGCCGAATAAATAATCATAATTATAATAAGCATAACAAATGAGCGAGGCAGTTGCGTAGCCAGGAATTTTTCAGCGGGGGGGGGGGGGGGGGGGGGGGGGCTGGAACATTTCATGGGTGGCGTCATGTAGATCAATGATAATTTTTTAGAAACTCAAAATCTCAGTGGGGGGGTGGCGAAAAAGTTTCATGGGGGTCTGTCGCCAAACGACCCCCCCCCCCGACCCCCCCCCCCCCCGTGGCTACGCCACTGGAGCGAGGACGATCAAACTGATACACAATCGAGTATTTACTGAGTATTTATGTGAAATTGACCTTTATACTAACTGTTTGTGATAATAACTTCATAATTATAACTTACCTGGCTATTCACATCAAACTGTTGTTCTTGGGAACTTATGAGTGCCTGTGCGCATGCATCGTTAGCGTGACCAGCGGCTAAGTGGAGTGGAGTTACTCCATGTTCGTCGTATGTATTTGGGTTGCTTCCGACGAGCAGTAAGTACTGGACAACATCTGGTTTGTTTCTATTGAAAAATCACGTTAAACTATATTATTTGTTAAATTCAGGTAAGTATACGCGAGGGAATCCGTGCATTTATAACACACTGTTCTTTGCAAGTGATAATGCATAGCTGTAGCACACGGCCTCAAGAAAGTGTACTGCAAGTTGAAGTTGAACTTGCAGACCGCGTGGCTTTGTGTTAAATACTTAATCTGTAGTAGTTTTGAAAGTGGCAAGATTTTTACTGGACCGTTATTGGTTTGCCATCAGACGTGTGTACTTTTTCTCAAAGTGCTCAGTGTGACCGATTATGACCGCTGCGATGGTCAACCAACCGAGGTGATCATGTAAATGGTCATTGTGCTGTTTGATTAACTGGTACGAAGGCTGCATATACAGCTTACCCCATCACAGCAAAAGCGAGAGCGGTATCTCCATCTCCATCCTTTAGTTCGAGAGGAGCGTTGCCTTCTACCAAAGCACTCACAACATCAAAATGGCCGAGATGTGCAGCCACTTGGAGCGCAGTTATGCCCTGCTCATTCGGATGTTTAGCCTTTAAAAAAAATGGGTTAAATCAATTTTGTGGCATTCGCATACGCATTTCCATCCGCAGAAAAATCTCCTTGGACGAGGAATTTGAGCCAAACCTCTGTGCCATGATACCATACGCCTGTGTTTGCATAATACTACAGAGCTTTCTCTTTGCAAGTTCTACAAGTAGCACTAATTATGCGCCAATACACATTCCACACCGCATGCGAAGCACCAGTTTACCGTATATTGTAAGCATCAGACACCGCAGCCCAAGCGCTCGCAAGTAAATTTCCTGAAAGTTACACTGGTAAAAGCTGAGGTAATTTACCTAACGTAAAACAATAGCGGGCGATTGTTAATATTTAGCCAATAATATTTGCAAAACAGATAAAGAGACACGCGTTTCAAAGAAACACGTGCGACTGAACTCACGTTTAACAACTCGATTTTTGAAATTTGCTCCGACAAGACCAACAACGAAACCAAAAACGGCAAATTTTAAAAGAACCAAGCGCAGTGTACCTTTGGAATTTGTAATCATTTGGAAATAAAAAAAGGGTGGCCGTTTAATAGTATTGCGAGCCTCGTTTTAACGAATAGGAAACTATTTAATTCATTTAATACCTGGATTGAATGATAGAATTTAGTGTAACGACTTACTTTAAAACTTGTTTATCAATTAGTTACGAATGCAGACTTCTCTATCAAATGCAGCTCATCTAGATGGCGTTAGTCTTTACATGTATATTGAAAACTTAAACAGAAATAATTGAAACCCTCTCTCGGATATTTAGCGTGGAATTTTGTTTCTTCTTTTTATATCAAGGGTTTTATAAAGTTAAAAGTAAATTAGCAAAATCATGATTGCCTGAACGGTTAAGGCTTACTAGACTACACGTTTTGAGTACTATTCACCAAATTTATTAAATTGAATTAGTATCATTGAACAAATTAAAGGGATATTACGACATGAAATCCCCCAAAATGTCATGCTTTGGACTGTTTTTTTAGTTATACTATTTAAAGGGTCTAGTACAAGGGAAACTAACCTAATGGCTTACCGTTCTCGAGAAAACGAAAACAAAAAGCCGGTTGATTTTTTCTGGTATTTATATCGGACACGACAGAATACGCATGCGTTTTTCCTGAAGTTTCTATTCAATGTACGATACACGTTGTGCGTGTGTCACATTAAATTAATACATCAGCAATGCCCAAATATCGTTTTTTACAAGGCTGCAGAAGGCGAACATTGTACGGCTGGAATCACAACTAGCCTTAAACAGCTCGATTTTTCGAGACAAAATTGTGACAACCAAAATTCGTTCTCGCATTGTTATCGCAAGAATTACACAAAAACGCCTAATTTGATGGTTGTGTGGACGTATATATTCTATTTTTAAATGCTCTTTCCATTAATATCATTTTGTTTTAAACTCATTTTGTAGCCCAATTTGGCATATTCCAGGCCGTAATATCCCTTTATCAAAATTGCTTTGTGGTTTTTAAACAATCACAAGCTACTAATTACCTATAGTTTGAAACAAAATTAAATTGTTTGTTTTTGTTTTCCTTTTTCTTACCGCATCAGGATGGTCTGTAATTATCTCCTTCACTTTACTGGTGTCCCCAGTTACCGCTGATTTGATCAGAAGATTAACATATGCCGTGTATGGACCTTTGGGGAAAAATCAAAGAAAATCGTACAAGTTGTTGCGTAACTCACAAGGTATCTGCGTATTTTGCGCCAATAATGCGTTTTGACTAAATCGGCTCATTCAGAGCCAGTTCGGGCTAGATCTGTGATTAAGTGATCATACCTGAATTCGATAAAACTTCAACAAAACGCAGGATGGTTTGAATGCGGTGCCACAGGGACCACAGGGCACGATTGCATCAATAGCCGCTCGCCAAGACCCAAATGTTTTGGGATGAACTTTTGACCAACGTCAGGCAAAAGACGTTAGCACATGCTATGCGCATGCGTTAGTTACGTCAACAATCAGCTACTAGTCGACACAGGCTTCGTCTCCGTAACATCATTACTATGCATTATACCATAAACAGCTTGACCACTCAAAGTAACCAAATTTCGAAGACTCGATCATTTCTTTTAGTAGCTATGGGAGGATGGATAACGATTTTAACATGTTGGTCATGACGCATGAAGGCGTGCCAATTGGTATGCGTCCAAGGGCGGATCCAGAACACAATTTTTTTGGGGGCCAAAAAAAATTTGGTCCCCAAAAATAGTGGGTCAAAAGATTACGGCGTGGGGTTTGGGGCCCGCTTAAGGGCCCCGAAAAAACTTTGGATTCTAGATGCTCTGTGGTGCAATCTGAGGCAATTTCTGACCACTTTAACCAATTTTTTTTGAGGAAAAGATGGTGGTGTACTCATTGCCTACCTTTATTGCGACGTCACATAAAAAAAAAAAAAAGTTTTGTTTTTTGGGGGGCCATGGCCCCCTTTGGCCCCCCCCCCTGGATTCGCCCTTGTATGCGTCAGAGCCGAATATGGAGAGAGTTGCGACCACTTCAGACTGTTGAACCATAATGGTCGTTCATTATGTGTACAGTGCAGCGTGCGACTATTGAGTACAAATTATATATCTGCACTGAAACAGACGCATAATCCGCCATTTTGGTTCCAAACAGTGCGACCCTCATGTCGTACCCTCATGTAACTCTCTCTATAGTGATGTTACTCTCTCTCTCTTTATGACATGTATAGTGTACACGTATGCGCTATTCCTTTAGATACAGACCGAGCGCAACCCAGACTTGGGTCGGTGCTAGTACTGATCTTGCACCCATCTTTATATAAAGAATGGATAGCAGATAAAGAGCGGCACAATATCGTTTCACCCTTTACAATTATTTGGAAGCTGAGGTTAAATCGTTTTGAATGATTTTTTTTTATTCTAAAAGAGCCAAAATCGTGTAAAGTATCAAACCTCTGGTGACGTAATCTGCAGCTGTCTTTTTCTGCAGACAGCGGAAATTGTAGGCATAGAGGGATCTGCCGAATTTGACGCGAACATCCCCCTCACTGTCGACCATCTTGACTTTGCCAATTCTCCCCCGAAACTGAAGGGAAAAAAATAAATAGCCATTGATTTTAAATAGCTGTCGAATGCTTACTTTGAAGTCCGTTTAATATTCCAACAATACTCAGACTTTTACTGTTTCGACACAATGGTGAAAATGTATTTTACCAGGTTATCACAAGCACTGCTGTAAACCTGGTTGATTTTCAAGCTGGACATTTGTTTTTTTCCTCGTTTTTTTCACAAATCATTTGCTTGTTTTGGAAGTATTTTGCCTAAATCTACATGTATAGGACGTAAACACATCAAGCAATCAATTTTCCTGCGTTACCATCTGCTGTTGAAAAAAGGCAAGCACTTTAATTTTGTATTCATTTATACAGAATAGGCTACTGTGCAAAACGTCGAAACGCTTCTGATAATATTTTGATTCACATGGTGTGCATGTAGAATGAGGCAGTGGGACGCGGGCACAGGAGATCGGCGCGACGAACCAATGCTGTCCATGCGGATGAGTGATCGAGTGAGTGATGGTGTACTAACACATTTATTATTATATACCATCCTATCTTAAAAAGATAGTTATATTCTTTTTGTTTATTAAATCATTTACATAGTGTTGCATCTCATTTATTCCCTAATTTTCGCATTTTTTAATGTCATTGAGAACCTTGAACATTCGTGGTTTTTGATTATCTAAGGGACGTGAAAAAGATACAAACTTGAGATAATAAGTCAGCTGAACGTCTATTTTCTGTTAACTTACATTTTTCATCTCTTCTATCCAGCCACACCGTTTCTGCTGAAGGTCCTTGAGCTTGTCTAAGTCGATGTCCATCAAACGAACTTTGTCTCCGATTGCAAACCAAGGACGGCATTTTGTTGCATCTGTCGAAGAACGGGTATTGAGTTTCATAGTAATTATCATTCCTAGGCATAACCGATATGGATGGGTCAGTTTAGGCTTCAATGATTGAGCTCATGGTAATATGTACACGTTGCACTTTCTTTAGATATTAAAAAAAAAACCGCTGATCCCTACTGACCATTGGGTGAACCTTTGACCCAATTCTGTGTGCATCGTTATATGAGGACTGCTCCAGCGATTCAACTGATAGCTGACCAAAAGTTTGAATTCAGTCGCGTGTAGACGGGTGAAAAAGCATTTTCTTATTTTCTGTGAAAATACCACTCAAGTTTACAATGCGACTTTTGTCCCCCCCCCCCCAAAAAAACCCAATATTGGATCCCGCCCAGCCCCACGCCCCGATATAGTGTCTCGTTCGTGGAATATCCTGTCCATCTTGGACTGAAATCGGCCAAAGGGGTTGGAGGAGTATAACATTTTAAAAACCCACTACAGCCACGTGGTTGCGAAGGGCGATTTCTAAAGGTTACGTAGCACTTCATTTTGAATGAAACTACATGTACACACACATGTACACGTTGGCGGGCGAAATCATTAAAAAATAATATCTCCCGTTTGGAAGATCGTATCTTCATGCAACTTTCAGGGTTTATTTCCCAAATAATGATCCAAGTATGTGCTAAAAATCGTTGTGATAATTTCTTTACTTTTTGTTGAAATTGGAAAAAATAGGCCTGGCTACGTGCACATTTGAAAGCTGTAACACTGGCGTTAGCAATGTTTGTCAATCTTTTCAAGCCTCACAAATATTAATAAGGTTCTTTTCCATTATGATGTGCATTAAAAATTTGCATAAAAGCCTTCTTCACGAGTTATTAATTAATAAATATCACCCTTTTTGCCGGCTTCCATTGGTCTATACCGAGACCCACGCAAGTCACGCCAGGTGACGCTAATGAATAGGCTAATATACCCGTCGTTATTGTGCTGTGCCAGGCCGAAATCGGTCAACCGTAGCGCCTACGGCGCTATGAAAACCATGCAAGTGGGTTGGGTTGGAAAAGATTTGTGTCGACATTCCCTTAGAGATAGTTCGAGCTGTAACACAAGCGTTAGCAACAACAGATTAAGCTATAATTCGGAATATACTTAGATGATATAACTGTTCAACTACTCGTGAAATAACAACTTTTGTAAACTTCTAGAAATTGATATAATTACATAGATTTGGGGACGTTTTCTTCCAGACTTGAAGGTCTGCTTTTCCCGTAACCAGTATTGAGGTTTCGGCATCGATGACGGCGATTTTTTCACTGACATGAAGTTAAGAATTTCTTCTTCGATATAATTTAACATTTCAATCATACTTAGCATAATTATTTTCTGAGAAACAACGTTCAAAAGGCCATGGGGGGGGGGGGTTCACGTGTTTCACTGCCCTGTTACAGCGTCTAAGTACGTAATCGGATTAGCTAATATACTTGACAACCAGCCAAGCTTCACCCTCGCAACCATATGGTTAACTACGAGAAAGAAGAAAGGAAGAAGATACAGCGGCGTCTAACTTTATGCACTGGTGCAGCATGCAAATCACTGGAATGCTCGTTGAGCCTACGTTAGTTAAGCACAGTTTTATAGCACACGTACAATGAGACTGTAATTTGTACGTAACATACCGAGCACTGGGAGGTGATCGATGAAGAATTCCCCGTTGCTCGCTTTCTTGAAGTACTGCAAATCCATTTTACCCTGAAAACTGCATCGATAATTGTAGGAGTTTCCTGCAGGCCAACGCACCCTCACCAAAGATCGATAGGAACTTCCGGGGCTATCGCCATCTTTTCCTTTAACATTTTCTACTTCAGTAACAGTTCCAACGCTTTGTTCTATGTATCGGAAACAATGAGATAACAACTTTCACTTGAAGTACTTGAAAATCATTACAACTTCTCTACATCTCGTAATTAACGGCAATGAGCATTTTGTGAACGTGTATTTTCTGCCACATTATTATTTCCTGCCTACATTGATCACTTTAACAGTATTGTTTCATAACTTTAATTTCACTTATATTTCAGTGTTTTGTTCCGATCCCTGATGAAAGAATAAAACTTAAACGTGAAGGATATGGAAATGCGTGAACATTTTTTTTTACCGTCCTGGTCTTTCCATTTCCAATCGGGCCCTCGAACAACCTTTGCTCCTGGAAAAATTCCGAAGGCTTTTAATCTTGTGGCGCCCAAGCGACAAGGTACCTTAACACTATGGAGAAAACAAGATTCACCGTCTCAGTTGATTTTGAAACAAATAAAGCAAATTTAAAAACTGATGTAGAACCCTCATTCATCTATCATCCTCAGGTAATCTTTGAATAGGGACAAAGTGGACTGAGTAGCTTCCTCAGTGGGTCTTTCTAGAGAAGAAACAAACTAACAGGCCTGTTTCAGACGTCATGTCTATGCCGTGTCGAATAGGAAAACAACTTGAATTTTCTGAGGCCTGTTTCCGGCCTGTTTCAGACGCCGTGTCGAAAAATTGACTTTAGCGCGACGTTAGCATGGCGTTAGCGCGGCAGTAGTTTCAAACGTCGAACTTAATTACAAACGCCTGGTCGAATATAAATACATCCAACATGGCGGACCATGCAACCTGTGGCGTAGCCACGGGGGGGGGGGGGGGGGGGGGCGACAGCCCCCATGAAACCTTGTCGCCCCCCAGTCGGCCCCCCCCCCACTGAGATTTTGAGTTTCTAAAAAAAATGTCATTGATCTACATGACGCCCCCCCCCCATGAAATGTTCAAGCCCCCCCCCCCCCCAGCGCCCCCCCCCCCCCCCCCCACTGAAAATTCCTGGCTACGCCACTGTATGCAACAGTCACAAAAAGACGTGATTTTGTGCTCTTAATCAAAATAGAGTTGCACGAACAAAACGAATTTGCTTCAGCGGGTATTTCTTAATCAAGTTCCTATTCCTGCAGGAAAGCTGTGAAGTGCCTCATTGTTGTCCTTTTGTTGTGAAGGCCTAATGAGAACGTTACGCTAAATCCCCATCTGCCTATGGATTCACCTCTGAATTAAAATTCCCATAGAAACAAATGCTAAATGCCCATACTTCAAAATTCTTTTACAAAAATTCAGAACTCTCACAGGTATTTAAGCTGCACAGAAAAACGATGATCAACATGTTATTTTTCATTTTCTTTTCAATTTGTTGGTGGGTTGACCATTGACTTTTCGAGAAATCCTCACCCAAAGAAGACGTTCCCTTTTTTTCCGAAGCGGAAAAGTACTGAACCATCTTAAAAAAACGATCTTTCTACAAGACTGCAAAATAGCAGCAGTTTCGAGTCCAATTGCATCAAAAATGCTCAGAATTGGAACCCCTTAATCTGGGCCAGAGGTTCATTACCATATCTCTTCAATTCCCCAATTTTATGGCTTTCAAAATATACTATTTTGATGGTATAACTTTAATTCATGAGCTCGACGGGTATGTTTGGACCTATTTACAGGTGTGCACCCCTATGATTCTGGAAAATTGTCAATGTAAGTCGCCATATTTGTTGATGCGTTTGTTAGTTGATTATTTCTATACTCGTACACACGCTGCGTGTGTATAAACGATGTTCACGGCAGTAGCTGCACGACGCGCGGTTTCAAACGTCGTGCTACTGAAGTTGGCCGGCCTGTTCATAATTAGGAATGCGCGTGCTCGAATGTGTGAGCGAGTTAAGAAATAATCAACTAACAAACGCATCAACAAATATGGCGACTTAAGTGGAAAATGTTCAAGAATTATGGGGGTGGACACATGTAAATAGGTCTAAACCTATCCACCGAGGAGCGAGAGTTCTGAGAGCCATGAAATTGGGGAATCGAAGAGATTATGGCAATGAACCTCTGGCCCGGACTTGGGGCTTCCAACTCTGAGCAGATATTGGGCTCAAAACTGGCGCTATTTTGCCATGTCACGGTGGAGGGATCGTTTTTCAAGGTGTCTACTTTTCGACTTTGGGAAAAGGGTTGTCTTCTTTGGGTAAGAAGTTCTCAAAAGGTCAATGGTCAACCCACCAAAAATTGAAAAGAAATTAACATGTTGATCATCATTTTTTTTGTGCAGCTTGAATACCTGTGAGAGTTCTGACTCTTTTAAAAAGAATTTTGAAGTATGAGCATTTTGCGTAGGTGTCTATGGGAATTTTAATAGAGGGGTGCTTCCATATGTAGATGAGGAATTAGCGAATTAAATGTTTTCATCAGCTAGGCCTTGACTGCAAAAGTACTAAAATAAGGCACACAGTACCAGTATAGCTTTCCTCCGAAAATAAGTACTTGATGAAGGAGTACCCGCTGGAGCAAAATTCGGGTTTTTTTTCATGCAACTGTAATGCAACTGTTGGGCCGCCAGCGATTTTTTTTCCATACCACAAGCTCGCTACTATAAATAGAATTATGCTGGAGAGCCCTATATAGGCAATAGTATACTATTTAAAACTATCGCATCGATCGATCACTGCTGTAGTGTCATGGATACTACATCGGATTACAAATCCGATGGTGTGAGTTCGATTCCCATTGAATGTTTTTTTTTACGTTCCTCTTCTTTGCTTCTTTTTTTTTTCTCTTAAAAAGGTTTGTTAGTCATTTGGAGCATTTTTCTTATACCAATATGTGGTTTGGAGGATTTTTTTATAAGGAAAAATAAAGTCCGAGAACCTGACTTCCAACTCAACGTACTTCGAAATACGCCCATGTGTACGTAAAAAAATATCGCGGGCCGCCATGTTGGATGTATTTAAATTCGACTCACGTCGTGTGACAAGGAAAAGGTCGTATTGCAGCCCAGGCACGCAAAAAAGCACTTTTGGAGATAATCGAGTTGAAAGGATTTGTGCTGCAATTTCTAGATAATAAATCACGAAAGGTTGAAATTTTGACTGATGACTTTTGTTAATGAATAAAATAACAGGGTGCATTTTTATGTCAAAATATTTCTAAATTTTGAAGTTATTTCAATTTTTATGCAAACGACCTTTTACTGGGACCTTCAAAAGCCTTAAACGTACGCTTAAGGGGCATGTTAAATCCTTACGACCTTTTGCCGGGAACAAAATTGGCTTTGCGTACCCACTTGAGTGGGACGTTAGGGCGCTTGGAACATTTTTTTGTTACATTAGAGTTGCACGCTTACGACCTTTTGCCGGGCACAAACAATGAAAAACCTCCTTCCGTCCTTTGTTTAGCGTTAATTACGTCAGAATGACGTAGCCGCTAATTATGTTCATCAAATAAAAGATATTTCCAAGCTCTATCGATTACCCAAAAAATCCGAATTGGACGTTTTGAACCATTTTTCCAGGCAACCGACGTGACAGTTCATCCCTTCCACTTAGTTTGTGCGCATGCGCCAAAATCTCGGCTAATACCAGTGACTGTTGAAATGGTAGCGCGGCGGAGAGGAAAGACATATCAGTTTTCATCTGGCAACCGACGTGACAGTTCATCCCTTCCACTTAGTTTGTGCGCATGCGCCAAAATCTCGGCTAATACCAGTGACTGTTGAAATGGTAGCGCGGCGGAGAGGAAAGACATATCAGTTTTCATCTGAAAAAAGAAAATGTAGTTTTTGATCGTTGTTTGCTTTCCATTTCCATGCAATCATCGGAAAAAGGGCCGACTTAAATTGGGATTTTTTTAATGTTCTCCAGTTTCCCCAAAAATTTGAATGAGATATTAAAGAATATTATTACAGGATTTACGAGTTATTGCAAATAGGTTTGCGTTCGTTATGTGAGTGTTGTTTTTGAAGTTTCCGACCGTAAGTTTACATGTACGAACCGCGCGTCGTCAAAAACGATGTCACCGTGTACGGACGGCCAATGTTGGGCCGTCCACTGGAGCACTGGCCAAGCTTGCGCCATGCCGAAAATCACGCTGCGATAATGGGGTCAGCGGGGGGGGGGGGGAAGTACACAGGTCGACAGATACGTCCTTCTTTCTTGAGCTGTCCAATTCGCAATAACTCGGAAATGATATCATTATTTTCATCTATTCTTTATCTATATGGCAATGTCTTTAATTTGTCCAGGAAAACTGGGAAAATATTTTTTAATTTTGGATTGATTCACGTAGGGTTGGAAGAACTTTTTCGCGGATTTGGTTTTTGTTTCCAGCATGATTGTACAATTCATTTAATGTTCTCAGAATTGTTCATGAGTTTAGGTCGTCTGTAACTTGTGGAAATTATGTGACATTGTTTTCACCTGATCAACGGGTGAGGAATGGCGCCATCTGTCGTCTGTACGATTTCAGAATCTTTTGGTCCGGGACGCATGCGGGGAAAAAACTGGTGGTGCATTGGCATGAACATGAATAGGCGTCTGTAATTAATTCCGACGTTTGAGACCACTGCCGCGCTTATGTCATGCTAACGTCGTGATAAACTCAATTTTATTCGACGCAGCATAAGCACGACGTCTGAAACAGGCCCAAGAGAGAAGTACTTCATCGTTGTGAGCATAAAAATGGCACGTAGTCCTGATCCTAAGAGAAGAATCATATCACATATTACAGGCGTTTCGTTTGGTAATTAAGTTTGACAGGTTTATAGCTGAAGGCTGACAGGCCTTTACATTGACATTATTTTTGTTGCTTGAGAGATCAGGCTTATTCCATGATACATTTGGCCACCTATCTCCTTACTTTGTACGATTTGTTAGCGTCTGTTTCAAACTAGAGACGTCTCCATTCGTAACATTTCTCATATTTGCATGTTGTGTATAAAAAAAGATATCGGGATAACTTCTCAAATCAAGCCGATCCTGTGTATGTCAGACACGAATGTCAGAAATCTAGATTTTGTATATTGTATTGCTCCTACCCAGGCACACCAGGTTCATCTATCCTCATAAATGGATGATCAAGATCGTGTTTGCACTCGTTGTAACAGCTGTGGCAGAGATCGTAGTCATCACATTGCAGACACTTCCATCGGATTCCAACAACACCATTCTCCAGACAGCCATCACATGCAACACGTGGATGTTTAACTCCTGTTTAAGAACCATATTTGTTCGTAACTCGTGAAAAAAATAACGAGCTGTGTTAGAGCTGAATTTTTATATTCTGGCTTGTTCTTCTTACTAGTTTGCCTCACAATGCACTCCCAAGAAACTAGAGCAAACAACAATATGGTATGTCCTAATGACGTGTGTTTAAAAGTTTATGTTTCCAGTCTTGTGATTACCTCTTTGGGCGTTGTCGAATATCCGCAAATCAAATTTGTGGCCCTCTCTTCCGCCGTGATACTCGGCCAAAATACCAGAGTCCCATCGTACCCATATTCTAGATTCTACAAATTAAATTGAAAAAGATTCCTATGTATTAACATTGTTTGAAACCATATCGTCGCCTCAGTGCTATAAGAGATTTTGTGAATTTGAAAAAATACAGTTGAAGTTTTGGTGGTCAAGGAACATTATAAAACAATCTGTCAACCACCCTGAATATGTTAGTTGGGAAGATTTATATCAATTTTTTCAATAAACTAAATATTTTTTTAACCATTTTTTTTTCTCTGAGAAAACTTAGTTATTGTTGTCAAAACCCTAAGGTGTCGTTTGCAACAAAAGGTCGTTATCCGTTTATTAATAGTGACCTTTTGTCAATAACGCATTATGGAGATACTTTTAATAGGTGCCGTATGAAACAAAAGGTCGTTTTATATCCGTGAGCGGCCTTTGGTCGATCACATGTAAAACAGAACGACCTTTTTTCGGTAATAAACAGCGGGCTTCTCATCATAAACAAAAGGTTCTTATCATGCTAGATACTTTTAACCGTAGGCCTATATGTCGTAAATTAGCGACCTTATAAAAAGAATACAAATGTGAAATAAAAATAAGGTCCTTTGTTAATTAGTTAATTTCTAGTATAATTAAAAAGATAAAAACCTTTTTTTTTGTGAGAAGCAAACTTTTTGATAGCTTAATAACATGCAACAAAACGTCAGTTTAGACAAAATTGCCTTAACGACCATATAGCACTGACATAAAAACTATTCAAAAGAATGAAGAAGTGGTGGTTTACATTTTTTTGACTGAGACGTATCAAATTTGGTAGTGTTTCTTTAACAGGCGATGTCACCTTTTAAACATGAATCGCAACTTCTTTGCGTAGAAGAAGGCTGGCGAACACGGTCCTGGTTTGATCCCGTGAAAAAGACGATACAAAAGGATTGGCCACATAAATTAACACTTAACATTGATGTTCATAAAACTGAAGGTTGTTGCTCGGTTAAAGATCGATGTTCATTTACTTACTGCTCTCTGCGTCTTTTACCGTCACCACCGTTCCAACGCACCCACATCCTCCATCCTGGTCACCCTGCTGCCAGTCCGGACCACGTACAACTCGCATCCCAATAAAAGACCAGTCTCCTTTCTCCTGTTTGTCTGAATAATCAAAAATCAAAGTTTAACATTGGTTCACAATGATCATTTACACCATGTTTTCACATGATGTCTACTTCTTGTGATGTGTTTAATTGACACTAACTTAGTCGGGGGTATCTCACTGCTGAGCTTAGCTGGCAATGCCTTCTCCCGTGTGCTACTGCCTAGGCTGCAGGTCATAATTGCAAACAAGATCCTTCATGAGAGTTAATGCGGCTTTCTCTCATCTCGCTCTACTGTTGATGCGGTATTCTCTCTATGACAGATCCTGGTGAAATGTGTTGAGCAGCAACGCCCGCTATCTACATGTTGTGTTCATCGACCTGACGAAAGCATTCGACCTCGTGAATCGGTCAGGCCTGAATGACATCCTGAAGTATATGGGCTTTCAGACACCTTTCTTTCCATCCTGATTGGATTTCATGGGGACATGAAAGCTACAGTCCAACATAATGGATAGATTCAGGAAGTTCGTCTTTCATCAAAGTATCATACAGGAATGTGTGCTTGCTCCAACCCTGTTTAGAATCTGCTTTTCTGCACTACTTCACCGTGCATTTCCTGACCCTTCAGGATTACCGCGACGCAAGCACAGTTCTGGGAAGTTTTTAACCTCTGCCGGGACCTTTCCATCAATCTGAAGATACGGGTTTACACGGCTTGCCTACTGAGTGCCCTATACTCTACCTCAGCGAGCCTTGGTCATCCCACCTCTGTTGCCTTCGTTCCATAGGTGGCATCTCCTGGCATGATTGCGTCCTGGAACACCTCCATCCTCGAGATCACTGGAACAACTGATATGTTGTACCATGTTGAGAGTGCATCACTTTCGCTGGACTGGTCACATCTTTCTAAGGACATCTTCTATTGTGAACTGGTTGGCGCCCCACACCAATGTGGTCGCGCTAGGCTGGGCTTCAGGGACGTCCTTAAGCGAGACCTGGCTACGTTTGCGATCTCAGATATCACGTGGGGAACAGTTGCACAGGATCGCACCCTCCTGACGCTCTGCTATCCATTAATTTTAGGCGTTTAGTCTCTTCACAGACATGCTATAATGATTGTGAAAGACGTCGAACTCGTCGTTTATGACGGGACAGGCCAAGGTAAATTGACAATACCTCAGTCAGGAGCACACACACATCCAAGATATGTGGGTATGCTTGCAGGTTTGGGTCCAGCACGTGCAGCAAGATTGCTGCCAATTGCTTGGTAGCCTGCTTTTTGCGCCTGAAAATTGCACAATACATATTATTACTTTAGGAGCCGGTATATAACAATGATGTAGAACCGACATTTCATGGTAAGTGCGCTCGATGAATACGCGTAATTAAATTATTACTTACAAGGAGCAGCAATGCATTCCTGGACAGTATGCTCTTCTTTGCAAACGTTCTCCGCAAGTTCCTTCACCGTAGTATCTTTTATTTCTCGACCGTCTTCCTTGAGTTCCAGGTCTTGCTTTTTTGAGATCTGTCCTGTGTCTTGGCCATCTGCTTTGGGTTCTTTGTCCTCCTGTTCTTTTAGCTGTTCTAGGCCCGTGCCTGTCAATACTTTGTGTTGTTGTGGGTCTGGGGGGATAGCAACGCCTTTTGCTCCGTTGTTATCTGTATTTTCAAGAATGCACAATTGATGGATTGTCTTAACGTCATCTTCTTAACGAGATAACTGTGGAGTCAAGCCAATTTAATAGCCAAGTACAGTCCTTAGAATTGCTGAACTGAGAAATGTATTTACACCAAGGCAATGAAAGGTAAGCGAAACATCTCAACGTTCTGTTAATGTTTTTCTTGAATTTTGGAGACAAGTGTGCGATGGCCACCTTGAAGTTGACCGGTACTTCCATTTTTGTAAAATATCATTATTATGTGCTTCTAAATGAAGTGACAGTATTTTTGAAGTGTACATACCGTACGAATAGTTGATATAGCTGTCCTGGAGATTTCCACCTACTATCGGACTGTTGGCAATGTTGTAGTTGAAGTGCACTACGATTGGTTGTGATTCTCTTACTGCCACTGTGCCACCACTCTCAGGTTTATCGACCTGTCAATTATCGTGAATTAAAAATATCTTGGATGAATACTTCGCACGGCGACATGGGCGTCGCCAGGATTTTTTCTAGAGGGGGGCAAAACATATTTTTCCCCAAAAAATTCTTGTATTTCTCAACATATTCTCGATTTATCAGTTTTAAGGGGGGTAGGGACATTTTGCCCCCTCCCCCAACCCATTAAATTTACACCACTATGACTTCGAGCCTCTGTTTCTTTTCTTTTTTCTCTTTTTTTTCTTTTTTTTTTTTTGCTTTTCCGGGGGGGGGGGCGCAAGCGCCCCCTCTCTCCCCCCCCCCCCCTCGCGACGCCCATGCACGGCGAATCCCCATTTGTATCGTTTTTGAGAAAGCTAAAGTAAATTTGAAGATTAAATAATGGGGGTTATGTTCAAACGAATTATTTTAAGCAAAAACTCTTTTTGTTTACCTTTACTGATTTTAGTGCGGCCTTGTATTGAACCGTCTTGGCGACCAAGCTCCGAAGTTCGGAACCTAACTGCTGTTCTGTTGATATCAATTACAGAAAAAAATATTGAAAAGATGATTGGTCGTAAATTTTGATAATTCTGTTAATAACAGGAGCGCATCCAAGGTGGTTTAGATTGCACAACGTCACCTCCCCTGGAATGACCCATGATGAAAACAATCCGAATTTTCTCAAAAGTTCCGTGCATAGCGTAATCAATATTGCAAATCTTGATTCACTACTTCTACCCCTTTCACTTTTTACGCGTTTACTGCAACGCTTCACCCAACCCAAACCATCGCTCTTAGGAAATCCTGGATCTGACTTTTTTAAGTTAACTGTGCAATGCAGATAGAATTTGCATCAAAATAACTGCAATGTACAAAGGATTGCAAAGGAATAAAGTATGTTTTTTGTCGATACTCAGTAATCAATTTATTCTATCTTGCATGTACACTTGACGATATGTCAGTTAAAAAAATCTTTCATCTGATCTTTCACAAAATACGGTAATAAATTAGTGTTTAAATTTGTTGCAAATATTTGAAAAATGTGACTCAATGTAATGTCACCGAGAAAATTGTGAGAGAATTGACGTTCTCAGAATGAAATCTTTTGTCAATATACCTACCATCCATCATCAACCTTTTAAAATTCTGTATTCAAGAAGTTCTGCGGGGAAAAAAAAAACAGATAAAGAACAACAGTTACCTTCAGCACATATTTGTTTGGTCAGGTAATAACTTGACTAATAATACTGGAAAAGAATATATCTCTGCAAACTGTTGGATAAGTGATGCAGAGAAGTCTATATCGAGTGATGGTATGATTTTTCTCAAGTTTCCCTCAACAAAAACGTCAAGGTAATAGGCTACTAATTTCCAACCGAGGTAAGAGATTTTTCGTTCGGTTAATGAATAATAAATGCAATGATGTCGTTTTGAAAATAAAATGTTGGTTATTTGATAAACTCTCTGTTTATTTGTGTGTCATATACAGGAAAACTCGCCACAAAAATTGTACAGAAACAAAAAATAAAAAGATAAATGAAGCAATAACAAACTATAAACAAATATCAGCCACATTTGACCTTAAACATTAATTGTCCAAAAGTATACATGTATACGGTACGATTTACAATAACAACGAGGTATACAACTGTTGCATATTTCTCTCATGGACAATAAATTGACAGTTTACATGTTAATTAGTCTATGATATCAGAGACCATTTTACCTGGCGCTGCTGCCTTTCACAAGGAAATAAAGGCAACATACGCTACATTATACTGCACATGTCTCAAGGTAAAGCTTGGATCATAGAGACGGATATAACTGTACACAATATCAATATATACGAAAGATGCATTCGCAATAATTGTAATGCCTTTCGGCAATTACGGTTCAAGAATCCAACTTAATTTCACGCGAAATGGGTCTAAATCATCTGATTTCCTATACTTTGAATATAATACACGAACGTGCTCAATTGATTGCCTAACGAATCAACGTATATAACTTCCGATGTATTGTGGAGGCAATGATACATAATCTTAAATATTTAGGGTTTTCAGTTTATACCTTTGTGATAAAGAGCATCTCAATGGTAGGTCCTTGTAATTTCAACGACCAAAAGATCAGGTGCTACTGGTTGGTGGTTCTCCGGTTATAGAAGTACCGTCCAGACAGGTACATAGGAATCAATACACAATAAATGACAACAAGTACATGTTGGGAACCCAGACATTGTTGAAAAGCGTGTGCCGACTTGGAAATCCCCTCTTTTTGTGTGACCGTGCACAGACACAGTGTAGATGTCAAATGTGATAATTGTTCACCTTTGCACTGCATATATAGTTGCATACGGAATCTGTACTCAAGCTAAACACGTTGGAGCCAGTCATATACGCGAACCGAACGCTTCTAGCCTCGTTTCCCTTTTCGTTTCCCTTTGCTTTGTTTAGGAGGCCGGGGGCTGAAATACTAAGCTCAATTTGAATGAAAGTGGGAACTCCTACAGAAAACATACAATTGCAGGCGTGTTTTACGGGTCGTGTAATTTCTTTATTATTCTAATTGATTGCATAATCGAATTAAATAAACTTCGAGGGTTGTTTTTAAAATACTGACCTGGTGAGTTTATATTACGAAAATCTTTCCAGTAACTTTTCAAAATAATGTATAAGCACTGTTTCTGTTTTTAGATGTTTGATATTCAATCAAGTCCCCAAGTCCGTTCCAAATGCCATGTTGACTTAATTGGGCTCAATGGGGCTCCAACAGGTCCGTAATATGAGATTTAATGAGATCTAATTGATCCAATGGGATTTTAGTGCGTTCCCATTGAATATGTCCCAAATTATATTTTGAGTCATTATATCAATGGAAAATAATGGGATTTCATGGAAATTATACCTTATAGGACCCAATTGGAATTGTTTTCGTAGGCAACATTCCCAGAACGAGGGATACTTGAAACAGAAAAAAAATGATTCTCAAATCTTCTTCTAAATTAAGAAAAAAATCAACACTTACTTGCAATTATTCTGGCTTGGCAAATGAAAAATCGGACACTTTTTTGCCAGGATCACAATGAAACGATTGGGAAATCCTGGTATTTTTTATTTTTTTTCATAATCTTCAAATGAAATCCACTAAATTATAGATGTTTAGAAGAGACTTGTTCTTATCTGTACTTCCTATTATTTCAACGATCGAGGGATCAGGGGATACTAGAGTGGTTGTTCATTAACATAAGCACTGTCTAGCCGGGTACCGACATAGGAAGAATAGTAATTCATGATAAATGACAACAAGCACAAGTTGGGAACCAGACATTGTTGACAAGCGGGTGCCGACATGGAAATCCCCTGATATGTTTATGTCAAATGTCAACATCAGTTTGCCTGTTTTCTGCAGTGTGTTGCATGCAGACTCTGCATTCAAGTAAAACATGTCAAGGCCAGTCATACACGAAAAAATGTATAACAGCGGCTTCTAGTCTCATTTCGTTTGTCGTTTCCCCTCTGCTTTGTTTCGGAGGGGATTAATAATACTATAAGCTTTGAATGAAAATGGAGATTCCTAAAGAAAGTAACTAATCGAAGGCGTGCTTAATACGGGTCATGAAGTCTTTGTCAGTCTCATTAATTGCATAATTGATTTAAACCTTGTGGATTTGTTTATAAACTAATGATCTGAGGAAGGAAACATACTTAATGTATAATTACGGATTGTCTCTGTTTTGGATAACATTACCTGAACGAGAGATACTCGAAACAGAAAACATGATTCTAAAACTTCTTTTGAATTCAGAAAAGAAAAAAAAAAACTTACATGCAGTTATTCTTGCTTGGCGGGTGAAACATCGGATGCTTTTGCCGGGATCAAGAAAACATGAATGGGAAATCCAGGTATTTCAAATACTAATGCAGAATCCTCAAATAACATCCCTCATTTTACCATGAACATGAACGTTTTTAAAGAGCATTGTTCTCACCTACAGTTCCTTATTATTCCATCGCTCGAGGGATCAGGTGATACTGATGGGTGGTTATCCGCTTAATTATAAGCACCGTCTAGTCGGGTATCGACAAAGGAAGTAGTAATACACAATAAATGACAACAAGCTGAAGTTGGGAACCCAGACATTGTTGACAAGCGTGTGCCGACGTGGAAATCCCCTCCTTTGTGTGACTGTGCACAAACAGAATGGTACGGAGCCCCTAAAGGGACATCCAAAAATAGTTTTGTTTTTATCTGGTGCGCACGACAGAATATATCGTGCGTACGACATATATCTCGTGCTCGCGACATAATTATCCCGTGCGCACGAGAAAATTATCTCGTGCGCAAGAGAAAATTATAAGTAGAATGGAGCTAGCTGCACGTGCAGCGGACGAGTTTGTGTTTGTAACGAAAGCAGCGTGTTTTATTGGGAGGGGGCTAATAATACAGGCACTATACGTTACATTTTAAGTCATATTATTCAGGACCCGGATTATTTTAAGGGGCCGCCACGGGTGATTAATTTTTTCAAACTTTTCCTTTTTTAACAGTTTTTTATCCAAGAAAGAACCGGTACATGCAGGCAAAGTTCAGGGAATTGCCTTAAAATAGCAAGAAAATTGCCGACGTGAATTAAAATTTATTTAAATGGGTAGGAAATGAAGATATGTTACCAGCATCAGCAGTTTGTATGGATGCGAGTCAGACGGTCTTTCTATCCCTGCCATTTTCAAACGAAGTCTCATTATGAGGAATGAGTGGGAATAACGAAGGATGGTCGACCTTTAAAGTTTTCTAAGGGTGGGAGAGCAATCAGTTCAATAATTGACAGCTTTCTAGCCTTATTGTCTTTGCCTCATTTTTACGCTTTATGCAAATAACGGGACTGGTCAGATATTTTAGATTTAGATTTATTTTGTTGGCTTGCTCATAATTATTGACATTTTTCATAAAGAGCGACGTAAACATAAATTTCATCACAAAATGGGAATTCGTGCCAAAAGTAGATACATTTTCGGTTTGAAAGAAGTACACATGAGCTTCTCATTGATTGAACAACTTAGGCCTTAAGATCGAAAGTCGAGTTCAAGACAAATTCCCAGAAATCCACATAGATTCTACATTTAGTTTGTTTGGGACCGAGTTGACCTGCAAACTATGTGTGTTGGAGGGAGGGAGGTATGACAAAGGACAACAAAAGGCAGACACAGTAGACAAGATATTGTCACAGTGTCTGTTGTTGTTTATTGACACACCTTCAAGAAATAAATGTAAAAAAATCATACATTTGCCTATCAAAGTATACACAAATTATTGCTTTACTGGTCTACAATCAGTGGACATTTTATAACTTAAAAAACTGATGTCTTACATATTGTGCTTCTCAAAATTGAAAATAAAATATTTTTTTGTGTATCATCCAGAGATTATAACTATCATTTGAGTCTCCATTGCTTTTGACATTCTAATCTCGAATCTTTGGATCTTCGTAATAAACGGGTGTCTTGTGTATCTTCTTCCATTCAATAATTTATTACATGATGTTGAAATCAGAAACTCAAATTGACTCGAGCATAAATTTGACTCAACTTGACCACAATCTGTGACTCGACTCGACCTTCTTGACCTAATGACTCAACCCAACAGGAGTAATCTTTTAAAAATGACTCGAGTCACAAAATTCAGTCTAACAACCCAGTCAACACTACTTATTGGGCCCTAAATGGGTCCCACTAGGGCTATTTCATGGGGCCCATGTTGACTGCCCAGTTGGGGCCCACAGAGTTTTGTCCGCCGGCGGCACTTGGGTCCCACATGTGTAAGCCCAGTTAATTTAATGTGGGTCTTATGTGGGTCCCATTTACACTTTAACCAGGTCATAAGTGGGCAATATGTACGTATGAATGTGGGCCCTAAATGGGTCCCACTTGGGTGTTACCTCATGGGGCCCATGTCGGCTGCCCAGTTGGGCCCCACAGAGATTTGTCCGCCGGCGGCACTTGGGTCCCATATGGTCAAGCCCAGTCATTTAAATGTGGGTCCCATTTGGGTCCCATTTGGGTCCCATTTACACTTTAACCGGGTCATAAGTGGGCAATATGTAGGTATGAATGTGCGTCCTATGGGGGTCC